TTTTGTGTTTCAGAAATGAGACAGAAAAGACAAACTTCTTGTTGATTAGCATTTGCTGAGGCACTCTGCAAAGTAGCTTGTACCTGGAATCATCAAATTTGGAAGACATGGCATCATTTTATTTCTTTAAATTGTGGTAGAAAGCAGAAAACATAAAATTCACTATCTCAACTATTTATATGCACATAATTCCATAGTGTTAAGTATATTTACATTTCTGTGCAACAGATTTCTGGGTATCATTTTAATATGCTAAGTAGCTTGTGGGTATATTAACCAGAACTGGGAATCTTGAAGGAAAAAGGAGTTGTTAGATCATATTCCAAATGATGTCAATCCTTATTACATTAGCGTAAAAAAAATAGTTCTATTCCTTTACAAACAAAAATGTATTGTATGTACAAAAACATGTTTAGCATAGCTTTATACTCCTTCACCAGTTAAGCCCATAACTCTAGAAAGAAGTCTTTAGTAGGCACATGTTTATATTTTTTGGTAGAAAGGACAGGTTTGGCACTTAATACATGTCATTTTTGGTATATCGTACTAAGTTTCTCCTTATATTGCATTGCCACAATATGTAAAACAAACAAACAAATAAAAAACCCAAAAAAACTGGCTAATAAGGCAAAATTAAACTTCTCCTGGTCTTATATGAATGTCAAAACCAGATAAGTATGTGTTTATTATTATTCGGGGCCTGCTGAATCATTTTTAGGCACACCAGTTTCCCCTGTCTTTTATTATCACGGTGGTTATTCTGTCTCATAGTGTCTGATCTTTTCTCTCACAGCTCTTCACACAGTTTGTGCCAAGATACTCTCATAGTCATGTGGGCATCTGTTTAATGTCTAGCTCCCCAATATTCTGAGCTGATAGCATGAAGAATGACCCAGAAGGTCCTCAACAACTACTTGTTGCCTGGGAGCAGCACACAAAGTGTCTGCTTCTTCATTCAACCAATTTCCATTGAGTGCTGACACTGTGTCACATGGCTGTGAAAGCTTTTTTCCAAATCCTGGACCTTCATGAAGGGCAGTCAGTCAGTTACACCTTTTCATAAAAAGAATTATGACTTGAGGTCTTACTGCTTATGACTCTAGGATAGCTACACTAAACTTTGGTTCAGGTCTCCAAGGCTCTTTTCTCTAATAGATACAGGTGATCCTATTTTAAGTATCAGTTTCTGTGTATATGTGCCATCATCATAAACTTCATGAAACATTCTATGAAGTAGTGAATAGTGGGCTTCTCACTGCTTATATCTACCTACCAGTGTGTGTCAGTTTCTTTCTCTATGAGGTTGATCCCCCACAACTTAAAAAATGTTTCAGACAATCTCATTTTACCAACAACATGAATTGAGCATTGGAGGAAATTGCTCGAAAAGAAGAAACAAAAGTGGAATTTTTCATTGGCTGATTATGATACCTTATATACATGACCTGCTACTGTCAGGGAAAGGTGGGGGAAATGACCCCTGGAGAGCAGTAAAGACTAGCATGCCCTTGTACTTTGTCCTCCACCTCTCCTAGTGTTCTCAAGTCTAAGCAGACTGTCAAAAACACCTAAATAATTTCTGTAACAGTTGGTGAAGAGGAGAGTGCTCCAATGGTATAGAGGAAAAGAGGGAATCAATGAGATAAGAAAATACACTAAATAAGTTATTTGCCATATGGGTTTACATTCAGCTCATAAAGGTATTCTTCCAGGTATGACAAAAGATGCAAAATTTAAAATATAACTAATACCAAACCACCTTGCTGTAGAATAGTGAATGCATCTTGTGGCAATTACTAGATAGAAATTCTCTGGGGAGACTACAAAAACATGAGCAGTTTGGGCTGGGTGTGGTGGTGTATGCCTTGTAATCCCATCAGCTCCAGAGACTGAGGCAGGAGGATAACAAGTTCAAAGCCAGCCTCAGCAACTTATCCAGGCCCTAAGCAACTTAGGAAGACCCAGTCTCAAAAAATAGAAAGGGGTCTAGGATTGTGGCTCTGTGGTAGAGCGCTTACCTCACATATGAGGCACTGGGTTCTATCCTCAGCACCACATAAAAGTAAACAAATAAAATAAAGGTATTGTGTCCATAAACAACTAAAAATATATAATGAAAAGGGCTGGGAATGTGGCTTAGTGGTTAAGTGTTCCTAGGTTCAATTCCTGGTACAAAACCAAAAAAACAAACACAAACAATTTGGTGTTGTCAAATACAAGTAATAATATAAATAAATACCTCAATGAATGAATGAATGAATGAACAGCAAGATCTACTTTTTTCATAATGTTTTGTTTTAAATATTTAAAAATACATTTAAAAGTACAACTACAGTTTATAGATGATTTTTCTTTGGAACCTAGAGTTGCTTTACTGTTGATCTATACTCCTAGTCATTTGTATTTTTTATTTTTTTGTTTGACACAGGGTCTTGCTAAGTTACTGAGGTTGGCCTAGAACTTGTGATCCTCCTGCCTTGGAGTCCCTAGTTGCTGGGATTACAAGCATGCACCACAACACCTGACTAGATGGTCTCTTTAAGGAAGAGAAAATAATCTCAACAAAAAAAATAAAGAGGAAGGAAATAATTATTTTTTTTCTAACAGCCAATGTGAGCACTGAGGCCCTTTCCCTCAGACTGAGAGTAAACACACAGTGTTCATTAATTGTGCCTTTTCCAAAACTGTTCCATAGTATTTCCCTTGACTCCACAGTTGAATATGTTAGTTGGAAGAAGGTCTGACTACCAAAAGGGTGACTGCAGGTATGCTGAGTTCCTGTAGTGCTGAGAGACTTGGCACCTTCATAAGCTACTTCCTAATACCAACCCCAGCATACAATGTCGTCAGAAGCTTGAATAAACATTGGACTTAGATTCACATAAATTATTTCTGTCCTGAAGTTCTGTATGCCAGAATTTAGTAAAAAAAAAAAAAAAAACAAAAAAAAAACACTTTGAGTAAATAAAATTGGTGTATAAATGCAAGAATATTCACCCAAGTAAATGATCATAGAAAAATATAATCAAAAGTACACACTTGTAAATCCTGCAATGATGTGAGCTGTTTATCTTGTGCTTCTGAGTTGTTATTGAACATTTCCATAGAGTTTCTTTAAGCTGACACTGCCAATGTACTTTGGTTTTTCAGTTGTTTTGTGTAATTGTAAAGTCTTCAAGTTTCATTAAAATGATCAGGAATTATTTTAATAATCATATGTGTGATTAGCGCCTGTTTAGTGCTTGATCTACAAATTCATTTTAAAAGTAAACACTGGAACAATAAAATGGAATGTCAGATATGACTGCTCCTGTCAGCAGAAACATTGTCTTATTTTATTAAAAATCACCAACAAAATGTCATGTACAAAAGATACAGCTTCTATTTATAGACATTTTCTACTGTACAATATTATAGTATCTGAACACTGCAAGGCTCTAGCAGAGTTTTCATTTTGCCTAGGGTAAATTCATAAATTGAGAGCTATTTTTCATACATGCATACATCTTATTACAGCTTCCCCCAACGTCCTATTTGGATTTGGGGTCTAATATAACAGTGTTCACACCGCCAGTACTGAGTATTTATAAGTGAATGAAGATTTCCTGGGAATGATGATAATTTAGCTATTGGAAATAATAACATTATAATATTCTCAGTGATCCATTTTGGCTTTAAGTACTTATTAAATAATATTTATTCCTAAAATATGTACTTATAAAATTAAATGAAATTGCAATATGCAATAAAAACACATTTCTTTCTAAATTCCAATTGACTTCATTTCTCATAGACACCTCTCCTTATGTTTATTCTACAGTTACTGTTTTCTACTCTCTCTGTACCTTCAGCTCTTTTCTCTGATGTGTTGATACACTTTCCCACTGACTTTATCCACATTCTCTACCCACTCTTCCCCCTCTTGTTATTCTCTCATTCCCTACTGATATGGGAATAATAGGATCCCAAGGCTGTCCTTACAGTATAATTAAAGTGTGAATTTCCAGGAGTTAGAAATTGCAGACCATTTTTATTATGCTTCTATAATAAAGCCAGGTAACATTGAGAGAATTAAAATGGCTTTTTCCTAGCAGATTACGTGGTAAAGATTTTTTCCCTTTGGTTCTATTATTTTAAGAAAGTAGAAGCCGGAAATGAGAATAGGTTCACCAATTCTTTTTTCTGAAAACACCTCTATCTTTTACATGATATATATCCCCCTAGATCCTGGGAATATGTTATAAACTTGTAACAGATGGTGACGAAGCTTCACATTTTTATACAATACATTTTTTTTAAGATTCTGCATCTACTCTGTGTATCTTCCAGGAAAAATGACCTTGAATGAATGAAGTCATAGTTTGAAGGAAAAACACTCCACAGATAGACCAGCATAGAAATGATGAGTCAATTGGGTTTTGTTTTGTTCTCTTCAGTTAGATGAAATAATTTCAGATGAAAAACAGAATGTTTAAAAAAAGGAATCGGAGGTCATCTTAACACTGGAGGTGCATTTGTTAACTTTTCCAGGAAAACCAGTTAGCTGTATTCTGTACTGAATAGAAACATGTGGAAGATGGGGTATCTCTGTCTGCAAGTAGAAATGCTATTTGCTTCACTTGGGTAATGTTGGGGGCTTACCAAAAATTGTTCTGGCACAACGTCTACCAGCATGAATGTTAGGAGGGTTCTAACACTGTGAGTGCTGATATTTTATGAATGTTTTATCACTGGCTTGGAAACAAGAACTTTGCAATTGAATCAACAGTATGTCAGACAGACAAAATATTAAAAAAAAAGAACATTAGTGAGAATTACTAATGTCCCTATTGTAAAAACAAACTGGAGTTAATAAGAAACTTGATCCTCTTAACCGATTAACGAAAGTCAAGTTTTAATTGCATGGCTTCCCAGACAAATCAGGTGGCACCATTAACTTGAGCATTGGTTGTTCAGAGGGTGCAGCAATGAGGGGAACTGCTGCATATTCAGTTACCCACCTCTTTTTTCGACAGCTTCAATGCATTGCTTTACAAACCATGGAACTGTGGAATTTTCACGTTCACACACTGTGTGCAGATGAGAGCCAAAAATTTGATCTGCAAAGGAAACAAAGATGAGCTTCATTAAAATCCAAGCTTGCGTTGTTCTTTAATTTGATTCTGTTTCCATATCTAGTGCATACTGAAATCTTCATCTTGCATAGGAATTGATTTTTTGCTTTAATTTCAAAGTGTCTATGGCAGACACACAAAGACTATAACTCCCTTCTTTATGGAAAAGGACCCTGGCCCCAGAGTAGGAAAGCTAACACTGGTATTGATTAGGCAGGATGACTGAGTAAGTTATAGTCTCTCTGGGCCTTAACTTTATTGTCTATAAAATAAGGACAAAGAATTAAGGTAACTTGCACAAAATAATTTGACTTTCGTATCCTGCATGTTTTAGAAGAAGTTTATCAGTAGTCATCAAGATTATGATTTTGTCAGTATATTTAGGACATTCATTCTGCAGATCAATGGTATTTGAAGAGGCATGTTGCAGAAGAGGAACTTTGAAGGGAATTGCTTCACATTTCTGTGCTCTGAATGCAATTCCTCCTCTCTAATCTAAGTATCACCTTTCCTTTGAGGTTCAGCTCAGATCACCCTTTCTCCACAAACTCCTTCCCTCCTATCTTAGATCTTCATGTTCTGTGCCATAGGTTCTTTGGAATACCAATTACTCAGGATGTTCATGGGGGATGCTAGAGAAGGGCTTGTGAACCAAGTGGTTTAGCAACATCAGATTGCACAAAGTTAAATGGGTATCATTAAATTGTTGTTATTTTCTAGAACTAGTGAAAAGTCAATGCACATGGTGAGTTTCTATGGTTGGGGATGCATTATTTCTTAAATGAGTGAATCCTTTTATTTCAGACAGAGTCTCTTCAGACAAATGTTTCTGAGAACACATACTACAAGATCCCAGGCAGCTTAGTCATCTCATTTGTTACATGACCTATGCTACCTTACATTATATACTTGAATTTATAGGATTTACTCTCTTAAACCTTACTTTGAGCACTTCAATAATCTATGTCTTCTTATAGTTACCAGAACTTAGCACTGATTTTTGCATAGCATGCACTCCTGAACTTTTTTTAAAAAACATTGTTAAAATATGTATAACATAAAACTTACCATTAAACCGTTTTTAAATATACAGTGCAGTGGCTTTAAGTACATTCACAATATTTGCGGTCACCATCATCATCCACTTCAAGACCCATTTCAAGAGCATTGACAATTATTACTGATAATGAAAGTAATATGTGGTGAGTCCAAGGGCTTCCCATTTTGATCAGAATGAAATCAAAATCTCTCTTGTGACTTACTGTGCTGTGCATGATCTGACCTCCACTAATTAGTTGATTTCATTTCTGTCCTTTTCCCTCTCACTAAACTTGCCTGCAGCCCCACTGTCCACAATACTGTTTCTCATCACTGCCAAAGCGCACTTCAGCCTCAGGGACTTTGCACTCATTATTTCCTCGGCATGGAACTCCATTGCTGCAGGTCTTTGATCAAACTGTAGCTTCTTATTGTAGCCTTTCCTAACCACCTTTTCTTAAAAATGGCACCACTCAATACCATTTTCTGTGCCATGTTCCCTACCCTACTTTTCTTAGAATATTTATCTCCACCTGACATACCAGACTCTCATGTTCTCTGCTTAAATTTTTCCCTTAAAATGCAAAATCCAGGAGAGTAAGAAACATACCTATCCGTTATTACTAGATCTCTGGTACCTAGACAATATTTGGCACATACTGGAAGTTAAATAAACATTTGTTGAATGACTGAAAACATTGTCTTAATCAGTGGAGAAAATCAATAAAATAGAAATATGTAAAATGGGGAGAGAGCATGTAATGAGGTCTAGCAGAATGCCAGGTGATACTCTATTATAAAGGTGTGTGTGTGTGTGTGTGTGTGTGTGTGTGTGTGTGTGAGAGAGAGAGAGAGAGAGAGAGAGAGATATGAGTGTAGTGAGACTTCAAGGAAGTCATGATTTTCACCCATTTTCTAGGAATAGGTAATACAGTGAACTGTTAACAACTTTGTCCAGAAAGAAGTAATTAAGGATAATGCAATACTGATAATATACTCCATAGTGGAAATGAACATTTTTTATCCAATAGACAGAAATAGAAGATATGTCCCCAAAACATGAACATGGTATGAGAAATGGGAAATAATCATGGGTATTTGTTTCAAATACTTGATTGAGTTTGAAGACTTGTTCAAAACCGTGAGCTACCCTTAAAAAGAATAACATAAAATATTATCAAAGAAAAAATAAACCAGAACTTCAGATCAAATGTTTTAATTTGGCTATAGTCAAGAAGAATTGCTATAAAGTACAAAACTTGTTAATAGACTCCATAATTCAGATCAATTTCACAAATATTTATTGAATATTTTCTGTTTTCACAGCAATGCAATAGTATTAGGTTGTAAAAATGTATCAGGATGTTTCTTATTATAGGGGCTAATAGAAACAGTCAAAGAATATACAAAACAGAATATGGCAGGTGTCATAAAGACATTGCTGAATGCTAAGAAAGCTGTCCTGTAGTGTAAGTGTAAGGTTGTTTCAAGACTTTTAGTACAAATGTGCTCTCTGTGTGTGTGTGTGTGTGTGTGTGTGTGTAAGAGAGAGAGAGAAAGAGAGAGAGAGAGAGAGAGAGAGAGAGAGAGAGATGTGGGGGGAGATATTGTTGAGACAGTGGTCATTGAAGAAAAATGGATTCTCTCTCTCTCTCTGTCTCTCTCTCTTTCTCTGTCTCTGTCTTTTCTTCCCACTGTTAACACCATTTATCAATAATGTGATGCTTGGGGCTATGGCGGGAACTAACTCATTAAAAGAAAAAAAAAGTAACAAAAAAGTTGACATAAACCAACCCTAAAACATTTTCTCCAGATTTCATGTTATGTGAGATATTTTCAACTGGGTATTCTATCATTTGCATGGTATGGCATTAGGAAGTTATTTTTTAGTAAAGTATACATTATAATCATATTTCTGCTTGCAGAGGTTTACTTGGTAGCACTTTGTAAAGAAAATGGAGGGCACTGAGAGTAGGGAAGACCAGACGCAGGAGATAAACTAAGAGGCTATTGTGATTGCCTAGGGACAATGTAGTTAACAGAGTCACCATAGTCATCACAGAGATATGATAAGTATAATCATTGGTAACAATTATTCTTGTCCTTTCTGAATTAGATTTGTACATTCATGTCCTTTGTCATATGGCCATGTGTCATCACCTGTGAGATGCACTACTGATAATATAATCCATAGTAGAAATGAGCATTTTTTATCCAATAGACAGAAATAGAAGATATGTCCCCAAAACATGAACATGGTATAGAGAAATGGGAAATAATCATGGGTATTTGTTTCAAATACTTGATTGAGTTTGAAGACTTGTGAGAGTGGGCAGCACTTATCTCCCCCATTTCATTGATCTTGGGCTTAACTCTGTGACTTGCTTGGGGCAATGTTGTAATGTGTCAGTTCCAGCCTGAGGCATTAGAAAGCAGCACGGATTTCTATTCACACTCTTGCTTCTCTGCCATTGCCAAAAGAAGATTTGCTCTGGACAGCACCTACCCTTTCAGCCTGGGCTCCAGAATAAATACATAAGGACAGACTGAAGCAAATCCTTAGTGAAAGGATTAGTATAGTCAGACCTGCAGCTTAAAGTAGAGCTGCACAATCAAGTCTGGTGCAGGTTACGTAAACTGCAGACATACAAACAATAAATACATCTTGTATATGCTACTGAGATTTTGCATTTGTTATGCAGCAATAGCTTACTGAAACACATGGCAACTGGATTTTAGGCTTTTGGTCACATCAGATTTTAAGCTATGTATGACAATGAAAACAAAAAGGAATGGCAGGACATGGAAATTGTCACTATAGAGCAAATGAAATCAAGAAAAATGTCTAAATTTGCTAAGTAGGAGTCCCAAAGGAAATGTTTTACACTTTAAAATTTAAATTCTATGACTTGAGAAGTATTGTGATACTTCTTGTTTTTCATTATATCCAGATCAAGTCAATTGTGAATAATTCAATTCAGAGAATATGTAGTGAGCACCTACCATATGCCAGGCATTGTAAAGAATGCAAAGATTAATTAATTAATTCAGTAACTATTACATGTCAAGTTTAAACTAGATAATGCACTATAGCCTGAAAATGTATGAGGCATATGATTTCCTACAGTTTGTGGAGTAAAATAACTCTCCCAATGGTTATAATAGAATTTGATCTATGTTCTTACATCAAATAATAGAGAGGATTTATTGTATTCTTACATTAAACCAAATATGGTGTAAAGTACTTTATATAGGTGCTCCTCAAATTATGATAGGTTTAAATCCTGATAAACTCATTGCAAGTTGAAAATATCATACATCAAAATGCATTTAGCACACCTAAATATATTAAATATATGTACCAAACACCATAGCTTTACAACACCATACACTACAGAATGCCAGGTGTTAACCCTCATGATCCAGTGCTAACTAGGAGGTGCAGCTCATTGTGCCATCCTGTGTGGGGAAGCAATTATTCTACTGTCAGGTCCAGGAAAAGATAAAAATCTGACATATAGTTTTTACTAAATGCACCTTGCTTTCACACCATTGTAAAGTCAAAAAATGGAAGTTGAAGCATCATAAATTGGGTACAATCTCTGTATTCTAGCACATGTAATTCTCATGTTCAACCCCAGTTCTCTATTGGTGTCACCATTTTCATTCTGCAGAAGTGGAAACTGAGACAGAGATATCAGATCATTTGTGCAAGACATAGAGCATTAGGCTGTTGGGGTGAGAGGAAAGAAGATAAGGATCCACACAATACAATTACTCTGGAAGGAGAGAACAGGTGATTCCATTGGTTTTAGTAAGTGGATGGAGGAGGTAAGAGAAGTAGCTAGGCAAAGTTGACTCCCAAGTTCCTTATTTGAGGAAAACTGACATGCAGTCACCAGAGAGTATGGAGAATGGAAAATGGAATTTAGAAGTTAAGATAAGCA